TTTAAAGATTGTTACGAAAAAAATTATTTTAGAAGTTACAGATTAAAAATTAATACTGATACTCCATATTTGAAGACTGCATCCAATGAATTTGTAGTTTGTTGCAAAATTAGTTATTGGAAAGTTACAATTTGAAAATTAATACAAAATTTCATACATGAAAGCTGGTAGTTACAAAGTGTTTGTAGGTTGTTACAACATAATTATTGAAAAGTTACAGGGTGTTCAAATACTGTTACAAAATAGTTATTTGGGAAGTCACAGTTTCAAAATTAATACAAAACTTGATATTTGAAAACTGTTAGTTATGATGTGTTTGGACGTTGTTACAAAATAGTTTGATTATCAATTTATTTATTGGATTAGTGATACGTAAACCCAATTGTAACAGTCAATTACATGTTTTGGAAACTATTGGATATTGATTAGGTGATTGACATGTTTAGTCGTCCCATGAATTACATGTGTTTGGACCTAACAAATTGGTAGTTACTCGCAAAATTTGTATTAATTACCATAAAAGTACACCCAAAAAAAACTATTCATTATGTGTACTTCGGGTTTTGTTGGAAATGGGGCAGGAACGGTTGTCACTGACAACCGTTCCTGAAGGTTCACGGCCACAATGTGGCCTCAAAAATTTGTGCGGCTCAGATTATAGCATGTAACTCGATTTTCACGCCATGTGTGGGGCCCACAAAAAAGTGTTGTAAAATTACGTCATGTGCAAAGTAAGTTACATCGTGTGCAATGGAAGTTACGCGCAGTGAAAAATGAATACAATTGGCACAAACGGTTGCACCTGCAACCGTTTGTGCCCCTTGTCCGGTTTTGTGTTTGTTTTCAAAAAACATGTTACTTATTCTATACTTACTAATTCTCCAGAATTATGTTACTACTAGCTAGCTTATATCGTTTCTTGCCACATATTAACTCCCACCTGTGTGTTGGTCCGTAGTAGCTCCTGATCGACACACAACCACTACTTCAACAGAAGGTTAAAACACAAAAGCTTATGTGGTCCAAAAGGAGTTTTAGATCGTTCAAATGTCTTCATCGAGCAATTTTGGTGGCGGATCTACTGAGTTAAGGTATCAATATCGGTACTGTCACTGTGGAAAAAGGGCTGGGCTGAAGATCGTGGAGTCACAGAAACCAACGAAGGGATTGCTGTACTTCGTCTGTGAAGGAAAAACTTGTGCTTTTTTCGCTTGGTGTCATCCAATAGGGAGGAATCATGAGCAAGTTCAGGCTAACTACTGCCCTCCCCCACCTAATCGACAAGCAATAAGTAGAGAAAGCTCCTTCGACGGTCCCGGAACAGTGCAAAATGAACCAAACTCTTTCCCGTATCATGTGCACCGAATCGAACAAGATATTCGACAAATGAAAACCTTCATGACGATATCGGTAGCGGTCGCCTTTCTATTGCTCCTAATAGCAATTTTTCGCTGACAGCACTTTCAATTTTTCGACCCATATGATATGAACTTCGCCTGTAGTTTGTCGGAGATATATCCTCTATAGGCAAAGTTACACTGACGTCCTTGTACTGTTGACTTTTCATTTTGGTAGTTGATCTAGAAGATAGAGTAAATAGTAGATGCAGTCGTATAGTTGAATGAAATTGGTGAAGTCACATTGAAAGTTTTAATTTTTTCCATTACCATATCAGCCTAGTTGGATATTCCTTAAGTAAATTATCTTGAGTCGGACCCTGAGGTTTGAAAAAAAAAAAAAGATTATTTCAATGATAGCCCTCCATGGATTCACCTATATAAGCCGCGGCTAAAGTTGCAAAAATAAGAGCTTGAATACCACTTGTAAATAATCCAAGGAAGCATAAAAATACCTATTTCAAGACTAATGTACAAGTCTCCAATTTTTTCAAGTTTATTGTATTCTCGATTCGATTATTACCTCCAAACGCGAATTCACTATTCTCACTAAGCGAGCTTACCAAAAATTAATTTTTGTAATGAGTCATTTTTAAAATATATGTAAGCCATAGTTCCATGTAATTGGGTCTAAAGAGATTGGAATAAAATATTCGGAGCAAACGGCCAATTAAATATTTAAATAAGCAAGTAATAGGAATTTAAAATAAATAAATTTGCGGGTCTTCACATGAGTCTAGTATTACTTTCTTAAATCTCCAATAAATCTATATCAGCGCGTCTTTCGGAAAACTAACAACGCGTGAGCGATATGCACTTAATTAAAACTCATTCACCTTTAATTCCTCAATTAGCTTTTCTTAATCTACTATTGATCATTCTTAATTTTTTTAAGATAATTACACTCTCGAATAGAACATCACCTCGAAACACATGTACTCATTATTTCTCAGTTAAACGAACCTCCGAAAATTAATTTGCTAACGGAACATTTTAAAAACATAAGGAAGACATTGTTTCATATGAATGGGCTTAGAATGGTTGAAATAAATTATTTGGAAAAAACAAGTGAATAAATATTTAAATAAACCAATAATATTCGATAAAATAAGAAATTTTTCGGGTCCTCACACTAACTCTCAAAGATCCAAATCTCTTGATTGAGAATGGTTTTAAAAAGTGAATAGTTTTTTGTTGAGAATTATTTTAAAAGGGGTATTGTGGATATCACTCTTTTCTCTAAATAAAGTTCAAATGATCTTCTATTTGTACATAAAGAGACGGATTTAAGGCAGATTTTCTCTCATTTTTTCCATTTCAATATCCCATCCCTAATTTTTCCTTTTGACTTTTCAAAACCTCCTTCCTTTTTCGCTTGGCAGTCCTTTAAGATCACTAACCCTACATTAGGGCAAATTTTTGTAATACATTTGAGGATTTCATCCAAGAGTCAAGTAATATACTTTCAAATCGATCGTCCAAAATTTGACTTCGATAACGCCGCTCCTGTCATGAGTAGTAGTTGCATCAATTTTTTAAATTAAGAAATTTAAGTGCATGTTATACCTTGATAAGCCCATTTTTGTAGGTATTTATGGCTGAAATCGATGAAGGAGAGCAAGTCAGAATCTTGCGAATTGGAAGGTCAATCACGAAAGAAAGAAAAAAAAAGAGAAAAAAGAAAAGAAAAAAATAGAGAAATTTGGTTAGAATTAAATTGGGGTAAAATTTTATCTCTTTCCAACCCTAGCGCAAAGCAAATTTTTAGAAAGAATGCTATCTCAAATGATGGCAAACCCAACATATGATCCACTTTCAAGCCTTAACCTTTCTTTCACTACTCCATATGATCCTAATTACAAAAGTTCTAAGTTGCCGACTTTCATCTTTTGCAATACTTTGAGAAAAATATTTCTTAATCAATTGGCAAATGATGTAAATACAACTTTTCTGAAATATGTCAAAGAGGATTGTCTCACTGATGCCACTAATTATCAAAACATGACTGGATTGATACAGTCTATATTGTTTTGTCTATATTTCAAGTTGAAACCCTGAAAGGGCACCTTAAAAAAAATAAAAACAAAAATAAAAACAAGAACAAGAACAAAAAAAAGAAGAAAGAAAGAAGAAAAAGAAAAGGAAAGAAAAAAGAAAAAAAGGTGAGAGTAACCTTGGTGAAAACGCGAAAGGGCGCTAAGATAGTTTAAAATACAAGAGAATCATCAACGAAGAAGAAAATGCTAAGGTCTGAAAGTTGGTGACTATGTTGATTTAGGTCTCTTCCATACTATTGTTCTTTTGCCGACAATGAATTCCAAAATGGAGGACGTCGAAGGGGTCAGATGGAGCATTTTTCTTCATCAAAGGCTGTCCTCTAAATATGTATCCAACTTTTGATCCTTGGACCCATGTTCATAAATCTAATAATTTTGTTTTGCAATTCTATTTACTATTTTATCTATTTATTCTGTATCATGGTTTATTTCATATCGACATTATTGCATGATGAATACTATATTTTTCAATTGTTTATATTTCTCATTTATTGGGTCTCATTCAAAAGACGATCCCCTATAATTTATCCTAAAGGAGTTATGAAATTGAAGTTTCGATGATAATAAGGCATGAATAATTGATGTTAAAAAGTTGCAAAGATTTTGAAGGGGTTGTGGACCAAATCTATGGGAGCGATTTGTCAATATTGAAATTCATGTTTATATGGTTCTCAGGACAAAGGATCACATGGTGGTGGCAGTGTTTTCATCACAGTTGTTTCTTTTCTTTTTCCCTTTTGCAGGTAAAATTATGTGACACAATACTGGCTTAGTTAAGCATGACTCGCATTGGGGCAAACAGTAGAAGGATTGAGCTCCAAGTTTCATTGTACATTTCTGAAGAAAGAAAGAAAAGTCATTATTCCCTTTCTTTTAAAGTTCGAAAAATCAAGAAAGTTGTAAGTCCATCAAGTAAGTTTGTCTTGATTTATTACCTTTTGAGCAACATGCATTTTGATCTTTCAGTTTGATAACATAGAACTTGTGTTTTCATTTCTTCCGCTAGTTATTTGGGTTCGAGTTTAATCCCACCAATTATCTAGGTTTCAAATATATCTTCATTTTCTTGTTAGACATTTGAACAGTTCCACTGAACAGTCCAAATTCTTAACAATCACTACAAGAAAATTGCGTTTCTGTGACAGGCGAAAGTCGTCACTAAAAATTCAGAAGTCGTCACAAAAAAAGTCAGTGACGACTTTTACTGTTGTCACAGAGCTGTCACTAGTTCTATGTCACAAAAGGGGGTCCATGTGACGACTGTTGAAAGTCGTCACAAACGATTTCGCTTTTTTGATGACTCTTGTCGTCACTCATTGTTGTACATTGTGTGACGACTTTTATTGTCACTAAACTGGCTAAATTCTTGTCATAGTCAACCCTTGGAGTTGTCACATTATGCTTCCGTTCAGTGACGACTTTTGTTGTCATTGTTTTCCATCCATAAAAAGTGACAACTTTCTGGTGTCACTAGTGAAACTTGTTAGCAGTGACAACTTATTTATTGTCATTTATTTTTTTGTAAAAAGCAATAATCTAATGTTAATTACGCAACATAGCTGCCAACAATCACAAAACGTTCATTGAATAGCAAGGAGAAAAAAAAAGCCAACATACGAAAAGAAAGCCAACATTCATTTCCAATAGAAGATCAACCCAAATACATATATATATATATATATATATATATAAATGTTGCCTCAAATGAGTCATAAACCATGCACCATCCAAAATAAGCCATTCAGTTACAATACTAGTGATTTCCCATCCACAATAGAGAGTAGTAAAGTTCTATACAAAAATATGAGCACGATTCCCATCTAGAACAAAACATGAGCACGATAGGCCTTGTAGTCTTCAATTCAAAAACCATCTTCACAGCAATGACTGGCTTCTTCTTCTTGGGAATCGTGTTAGAACCTACACGCTACCAAAATTGAAGCAATGAGCACTGGTGTTAAAACTGGAACTACACTTCTAGATAGGCACCATATTATAAAAACTAATGTCACTCTAATTTGAAATTATAGCAATCTAAGTAAATTGCTTAACACAAAAATAAAGTGAAATTATAGCAAATAAGACATTGAATGTATATTCTGTGAAATATAGAATAACAATACAAACACAATAAATATCTGCATGTTCACAAATATATATGCAATAACAATAACAATAACAATAACAACAATAAAATCCTAAAATCATTGAGAGCCTAGATGATCGTGAACCACACAGTATATCAAGAAAAAAAACACACACACACACACACAATCACAGGTGCCTCTTTTTCCTTAGCACAAAAAAAAAATTCTGATACAGAAAAATTTAGATGAGTTCGACAAACGAAGATCAATTAGACTAAACGAAGTTTACAAAATTCAGTTACCATTGCACAAAGAGGTTCTAGACCAATTTCAGAAGCAGGTTCCTCTAATCTCTGCCTTTCAGCTGCTTGAAAATCAATCATCACCTAAGGAGAAGAGATGACCAATTTAGCAGAAAATAGGAGAGAGAATGGGCAAACTGGTATAATGATTAATTAACAACATAGTGAGAAGGGAATATATATTAAGATAGGGACAAGACCAGATATAAATTAAGTAGTAGCATTTGTTCGACTCTGCTGTATGAAAATGTAGATTGAATTTTCTGATGAACTTGGGCACACCACAGATCATGCAGAAGATAGGCTGGAGACTAGTAACAAATTTTCAAATGTTGTTGTAACTAGAAAATACTATAGAATCATACTGTGCACAAGTGTTAACAATGTGTAAACTGTTTAGTGATATACCAGCTAATCATGTTGTTCAGAAGTATCAACAATATAGGTACTATAAAAGAATACGTCCACTAGAAAGATGAGGCAAAAACAAGAAAATTTTCCAATCTTAGAGTTCTTGACAGCTTAAATGATCTAGCAACATAGATCCAACCTACTCTAGTAATTTGCTTTTAGGAAACAAGTAGTGGAGTGGGAATTAATATCAATAAATTGGAACATGTAAAATTGCTAGAAACAGATTCTGGCACAAAATGGGCACAGTGACAACGAAAATGTAGTTTCAATTCAGACCTTTCCCAGTTAACTGTATGAGTTGGCAGCAAATTCAAAAGGGATCTAAGCAGATAATGTTCATTGACACAGTAATTACTATAGCACAAACAAAAAAAATACTATAAATGTAAAGTACCTGAGGTGAAATTGGTTCGGTTATATCCTCAAATGAACAGCTCCTTTTGACATGATATGAATGACAAAACTATCTCAAACTCACCTGAATTATAGCCAAAGAGATTCTATACAACATGACATCAGTGCTATTCTCCCGAACTATTTGTACTTGCTCTCCAAGGATTCTAAATAAGTCAACAGCAGCTGGTGTATAAAGCTTTCCATCATCTGTTTTCTTAGGTGCTTGTACCTTGTCAGCCTCAAGTATATTCAAATACCATTTCTGCAGAACAAAGTTAAAAATGAAATATGCAGTGCTGAATATATTTGTTAGAGGAGCAAAATGAAGGAATAGCAAAGCCAAGTAGACATCATATAGTTATTACCCTTGTGGTAGCTTGCATTCTTTCTACATATGCATTCATGAGGGGATCCATTGAGCCACTCTCGGAACAAACTTGAGCTAAGGACTCGTCCACACCAAGTCCAATTAAATTTTCTTGGTATTCCACTACCCAACCTGTAACCTAATTGAATATATTGAGAATTAATTTCTTTAAAAGAAAAAGAAAAACCAAATTACTAACTGATATGAGTAAAAGAGAGTGAAGATTAAACGCTTCCAATATATGCGCCATGTTTTTTTATCACCAAAAATACTCACAGGACTTACATAGTGTATATATAGAGAAAAGGAAAACCAAAGAGCAATTAGGCTGAATGGTTTTGCAGTCCTATTTGAAGTTATTTCTTTTTCACTCTTGACAAAACCCAAAATCCATTCTAGAATGTATTAAAATCTCTGACCTTCTCTTTCTGAGAGTTTTCTCTTTTAATTTATGAATTGACAGGAAAAGAAACACTAAAAAATCTAAACTTACCTTCTGACTATGACATTTCTTATAGACAAATTCTTGCAGATTTGAAATATACATTTAAAACAAATGATGAAACAGTTTCAGACATAATTTGTAAGTAAAAGATCTTCAAAATAACACCACTACTGGGGGATTTCAAATTCGTACTGAGAGAGGAATTTCAGAATCTGGGGAAACTCAGATATTAGGAAGTGGATGAAAAGGACATTAACATTTTAAGAATCCAAAAATCTGCAGTTCATCCTTAAAGATAACATATCAGAATAGGTTTTGATCTGTCATGTGTTATTTCTATTTTTCTAAATTTTAATCTAATATAAGATGGCTAGTCCTCTATTCTTTATTTTACCATCATATCTTCAAACCCGACCTATAACAAAGCACCAATTAAATCCAGAATATGAAGAAAATAGATACAGCAAAAGAACACATGATTTTATACATATCCAAGAGTGACAGCATTTGATCCCATATTTTTAATTTGGGAGCAGGTGATCCTCTTTAAGATGCCTTTAAATCCTCTTTATATTTTGTCCTCTTTAAATCCTAAAATCATTGAGAGCCTAGATGATCGTGAACCACACAGTATATCAAGAAAAAAAACACACACACACACACACAATCACAAGTGCCTCTTTTTCCTTAGCACAAAAAAAAAATTTGATACAGAAAAATTTAGATGAGTTCGACAAAGAAAAAAGTGGAATACATCCAAACGTTCAAACACATTTGCTTTAAAAACACTAAAGTTTTGGTTGCAACATCCAGCACCTCAATGGCTGTAATTAAACATGAACAAGATTTCAAGCACCTAAATCAGCCTCAAGCAACTCAATTGCATTAAACAGGAATCAGATTTGGTGGAACCAGATTTCAAGTGCCATCAAGCAACTAAATTGACATCAAGCAACCCCTTGTCCTTTGATCCATATAACCACAAAAACATATCTAAATAAAAGCTAATAGCAAAAAAGACATGGAAACTGATGCATAAAGTATGAGGCAAATACCTATCCCCAATCAATAAAGGGTAAAGAAGGAGGATATCCAGCTTCTGGAGGAGGCATCCAGGATGGAGGTAGGTTGCCCCATGAAATTTGCACATTCTGACTGGACATCTGACCTATTTCAACCACGAAGATAACAAGATTAGATAGAAACAAGTTAAGAAAGAATATGTTTAATATTCCTTCTAATACTGAGAGTAGAGCAAAAAGGGGAAAAGAGTAACTGGTCAATATGCCTTTAAAAGGATTTGATGGAATTATTTGACTTCCAAGATTATTTTGTAATCAACCATTATCAATGAAATTTACTGCTAAATGTAAAACCAATGGGAGAGAAAAGCAGTATCAGATATTCTTCAACCACAATTTTGTGAAGTCTATCGGTAGGAATAACTATTCATAACCACCCCTTCTCCCTCCTCTTCCCCCAATAGACTCTCCTTTAATTAACAAAAAAGAAAAGCTTTGAATACTACAGTAAAACAATGTGTTTGATTAAATAGCTCTATCTGGTTCTGCCTTGAAAAGGCATGTAGACCAGCGGACAGAGTACTTCCCCATGGACCCCTCTTGCCAACAAGCAAAAATAGCCTAGCAAACTAAAGCCTTTCCTGCATCAGGATGGACTACAACTAAAATGGTGGCTATCCAAGTTGTGTCACTCTTTGTTCTCTGTGCTCAAATTATGAAAATAAGCTGTAGTATGGTAGTAATTGTAGTTATAAGAAGGTGATACAGAGAACATAGGATCAATGGCATAGGCATCTTCAGTTTCAGCTATTACTATAAATCTACCAAAAACCTGATTTCAGTTTCAGCTATTGCTATAAATCTACCAAAAACCTGATTAGTAACTTCATAAAACACAAGTTAGAAGGGGTAAAACCTAATGTTACCGTTCATTTTTTTTAATATAAAGAAGAAAAAGCATCATCTATGCAGATTGGTACTCAGAGTTTGGATGGGCTGTTTCAAGTCTGGTCTTAGGATTCCATACAAGCAAAGTATCAAGCCTTTTGACAAGATTTCTGATGACTAACAGTTACATGGATGGACAAGCTCCCAGAGAGAGAGAGAGAGAACCAGAGAGTAAATTACATGGTATGGCATAAAGTACATTTAAAACAGCCAAATAAATTAGGCAAATCAGTCAAGTTCTCTTCCCCTTAAGGAAGCAATTGAATGGCACGACAAATTGTTTAATTTCTCTTTCATCCAACCAAATTAATGCAGTCAAAAAATGTTCGCATTTCATAGCTCCTCAAAGAAAGCCGGTTCTGACCATCCTAATCACAAAAAGGTTCCATCAAAATATAAAGCAAGCAATTTTTGGTTTAATCAGTCCAAATTTCTCGAAAACAGTGAAAAAATCCACAAAAGAAAAAAAAATTCTTGGACGAACCCTAACACTATTCATACTCCAGATCGCAAGTGTTTTGGATGCGATTTGGCCAAGAGTATTACCTTCCCCACTGCTAATTAACAATCTAGTTCATAAATTAGTCTTTACAATAGAAGGCTGAGCAACTTTTGAAAAAAAAAAAAAAAAAAAACTCATACCGCACAATTAGCTGAAGAGGGGGTCGGAGAAAAGTCTAAGCTGAAGTCGCTGAACGAGGAGGGAGCTTGGAAGTGTTCTGACTTCGCTTCTTCGGCGAGCTTGACCTGAAGATTGGCACTTGTCAATGGTGCTTTAGAGGAGCATTTTGCGGAAGCAGAAGGTGTTTGAGGTCCAGAGTTTTTCGGTGTTCACCGTAGGAAGGAAAGACTGAGAATGAAATTTGTCCAAGTGTTGGAAGAGAGAAGCGGCGAGACTTTTGTTTGTCTGTGAACAACCAAAAATGACGTCGTTTTGTAGAGATTTCAACCACCCGCTCGCGGCTCTTTCAGATTTCAGACTGGCGCTCTTTTTTTTTTTGGCATCTAAGCACGTCTTTGAGATTCCAGGATTCACGCCTTTAACTTCATACATCTTTTTTCTTTTTTTTTTCCCTGGTCAAATTTTTTTTTTCAGATTTCTTTTTTCATACTTAATCTCTTTTTTTTTCCTTAATCTCATCTATAAATATCAAATAAATTATTTGATATTGGTTTCTTTTTTGTACATGTATATATATGTGTGCTTGTTTGTGTCTATATACATCTTTTTGGGTTTGGACAACTCAATATACAAATTATTTAAGAAATTACCTTACAATAAAACTTACACAATAAAACATGTTTCAAAAATTTAACATGCATAGAATTGCTTATATACAGTATATCACTTCTTACTCATGCTTATCCTACTCTTTGTCTATTACTTAGTTTTTATAATAAATTAAAAGAAACATGTAATCAAATATTCTGTTAAATGTGTTACAACTCTCAATCTTATTGCACGACAGATATTTTACTGAATAATTTTAATTTCGTATATACCCATTCCATATGAAAATAATTATTACTTATGATGTATTACACGTTATACTAATCTTTCACAGTGCTAACATTAGACTACAAATTATATTCAATTACACTTTTTCAAATTATTTCAGTTATTGATTTTTGGGGGTTGTTATAAGTAATAATAAACAATTCATCAAAAAAATTTTATGCTCAAACATGTCTATTATGTCAACTTAGCAAAAATTACAAATATCTAAAACTAGTTTGTTATTATATCATTTGCATTTTGCTAATACGTAATGAATAGGGGCTAAATTATAAAATTAGGGTGTCATATCTTCTGTGCTTTTGCTCATATAAAAGAATTGGGGGCTAAATAATAAAATTAGGGTGCCATAGTAGAATTAGTGAAATTTGATGAAAATACTATAGAATTGCTTATATACAGTATAACACTTCTTACTCATGCTTATCCTACTCTTTGTCTATTACTTAGTTTTTATAATAAATTAAAAGAAACATGTAATCAAATATTCTGTTAAATGTGTTACAACTCTCAATCTTATTGCACGACAGATATTTTACTGAATAATTTTAATTTCATATATACCCATTCCATATGAAAATAATTATTACTTATGATGTATTACACATTATACTAATATTTCACAATGCTAACATTAGACTACAAATTATATTCAATTACACTTTTTCAAATTATTTCAGTTATTGATTTTTGGGGGTTGTTATAAGTAATAATAAACAATTCATGAAAAAAATTTTATGCTCAGACATGTCTATTATGTCAACTTAGCAAAAATTACAAATATCTAAAAATAGTTTGTTATTATATCATTTGCATTTTGTTAATACATAATGAATAGGGGCTAAATTATAAAATTAGGGTGTCATATCTTCGGTGCTTTTGCTAATATAAAAGAATTGGGGGCTAAAAAATAAAATTAGGGTGTCATAGTAGAATTAGTGAAAGTTGATGAAAATACTGTAGTATACAGTGATGCAAAAAGTTGTCACAAAATTGGAACCGGGTAGACTTTCAATGACAACAAGTTATGTTGTCACTATAGAGAGAGCGTTTGTGACGACTTTACTTGAGTTGTCATAAAATCATTTCCCGCGGCATCAAATGAGATGCGCGCCAACTATTTCGTGACGAGTTGAGAATGACAACTTCCAATGTTGTCACTGATTATGCTTGTGCTGTACTCATCTGTGA